GTATGCGTGTATGTGTGTATGTATGTATGTATGTATGTATGTATGTATGTATGTATGTAGGCATGTATGCATGGATGTATGTATGCATGCATGCATGCATGGACGTGTATGTGCGCATGTGTGTACATATATATATATATACATATGTGCATATATACATGTGTGTGTACGTAGATGTATGTATACGTATATGTGTATATGTATATGTATATAGGCATATGTATGGATGTGTATACGGATGTCTCTCTCTATATATATATAAACATTTACTTATATGCATGAGTAGTATGTATATGTATGTATATATGTATGTATGTATGTATGTATGTATGTATGTTTGTCTGTATGTATGTATGTATGTATGTATGTATGTATGTATGTATGTATGTATGTATATTTGTATGTATGTATGTATGAATGTATGTATGCAGGCATGAAGGTATGACGTCGCATACAATGTGTGCAGAAGGGTATGTAGCATGAATGTGTCTGTGCCACTATGCAAACCTGAAACATATAAATATACATACACACAGAGACCACTAGTTACATATGAACATACATAGGGAAGGACGATGTCGCATTGAGGTTGACATTTGCAGGTCTTAGGACATAGGAAGTGTCATACCATGTCATACCCGTGACCAGTCTAAACTCCAAGCCCTCGTTGCTCGGAGCAGCAATCGAAAATCCCGAATTCGATCTGTTGGGCTGGGATGTCTGGGTTCTAGGGCCGGGATTCGGCATTATGAGCGTGCAAGTCTTGATGGTGTAGGAATGGGAATGGGGCGCGGTGTCCAGCCTCTAGACCGTCATAAGCTCAAATCCGAAACCTCCCAAACACAAGACAGGACATTGGCCCAGACCCTGAACTCTAAAACCCAACGGCATAAACCCTGAAGAGCCCTGAAACCCTCTGCAAGAAGTCAGTCAAGCGCCTATTTTCGGGTCCAGAGGTGCTGCTAAGTCGAACCTGTGAGGGGCTATAGTAAACTTTTCATAAGGCTTAGTACGGACTTAAAAGCTTCGGAAGCTGTATGAACTATGAACAGTTACCATAGCTGCAGCTGCAAAGAAAGCACTCGTACTGCGCAAGAACTGAAGATCATAATCATCAAATTCATTTCTATCATATCAAAACATCTGGTTAATGAAGGTTGTTTCTTATCGTCGACAAGAATAACAACAACCCTAAACCCTAAACTACAGCCCTCTGGCCTATGTCTTTCTGCCGGGAACTGGTCACTCGGGTCGGCGCCAGGGCAATCACGAGACCGTAGATGGTCAACGACTCCATGAAGGCCAGGGAGAGCAGCCTTGCTGTTTCGGGTTTAGGGTTTAGGGTTTAGGGTTTAGGGTTTAGGGTTTAGGGTTTAGGTTTAGGGCCTTGCTGTTTCGGATTTAGGGTTTAGGGTTTAGGGCCTTGCAATTTCAGATTTAGGATTTAGGGTTTAGGGTGTAGGGCCTTGCTGTTGCGGATTTAGGGGCTTTATGTAGGGCCCTTAATGATTAGAATAGGGTTTTGGGTTTTGGGGGTTCCTTATTCTAACTAGAGCAGCCTTAGACTACTTGAAGGGTTGCTATAAAGTTAGGGTTTAGGGTTTAAGGTTTAGGGCTTAGGGGTTTAGGCCTTAGGGTTTAGGGTTTGGGGGTTTTAGGGTTTAGGGCTTAGGGTTTAGAGGGCTTAGGGCTTAGGGCTAATATACGATTTCTACAAGTGTTGCTCTGGGTGGCGTGCCTAGGCTTTCGGGTGCACGGTTTAGGGTTCGAGGTTGCAGGTCTCAGGGGTTTGGAGGTGTGACCCACTTGAAGCCTTATACAGACCTCCTGCAAAAAACAAGCAGAAATACACAAGAAACCACATGAAATGTGCAAGGCTACAAACAGGAGGCTGATTCGACGTTGGACCACATTGGCGCTGTAGCCGATATCGATCTGTTGCTAACCGACTGGCGTAACGATCCCCCGAACACGCTTGCATAGCAAAGGAAAACGCTCCTAGCTTCCATCCAAGGGCCGCCCAATAGCTAGGTCACTTTGATCCCCAGGGCATTTAAGGGACATTATATGGGCAGTTCTCTAAATCAGGGTCCTTAGGTCCTTGAGGTCCCTTTTTGTACGGGTGCCGCCTTCTTTGAGGTTCCTAGCAAGGGACGGCAATTTAGAGAACTACTCTTTCCTACAAACATAGGATCGTTGCAGGGACAGGAGGCAGAGACTCCTGCATAATGTAGAAGCCGGCATAATTACCAAGGCTATGTTGGGGCACCGTGTTACAAGTATAGTAAAATACACGCCGAAACCCTATTCTTATGATTAAGGCGATTCAGGCCACTATATATTCAGCCACAACACCCTCATGGGAAGACCTAACGCATCGCTCAGGCAGAGGTTTGGAGTTTAGGTGGACTAAGATAGGGTTTAGGAGTTAGGGTTAGGATCCAAGGTTCAGGGCCGTTCAGAGTTTACGGCCTTTTAGGGCGTTTAGGGTTTAGGGATGCTTTTTCAGGGTTCACGCAGGTGATCAGTTCGATCCTAAACCCTAAACCCTAAACCTATTTTTTTTTCGGAAGCTGCGCCAAGTGGCAGCACGCCCCGGAGGTCATCTGCAACCTGCCGGGCGTTTCCCAAGGCCAATAACCACAAAGTGCCCACCTCAACCCCAAGCCTGAGACCATCAAACCCACCTAATGTCGGGGCCTTAATAATTAGAATAGGGTTCCCGTAAAGGCTCCTTTAAAGGGTTACTGTAAGGGTATAATGTAGGGGCGTTCATAATTAGAATAGGGTTTTGGGGATATATTTTACTAAACTTATAATAAGGAACCCCAGAATAGCGTAGGTAATTATTTCGCCCACTATATTGATACAGTGGGGGAACACGGAAAAGCATATGTTGGGATATCGCTGAGGAATACTGTATGTTCCCTTTGGGACCATCAAAAAAGGATGACGCGCTACTTAGGCCGCTGAGTGGAGTCCATCGCCCCGCTGGAGTAAGGTTCACGATGGCTAAGCCAAGCCCGGTTTGGCAAGCCTCATCTCCGGCTCCAAACCCTACTCGGACAAAATAATAGGTTGTGAGCTATGAAACCTCAATTATATGGGGTATAACCCTGACCCTAAACCCCTAAACCCTAAACCCTAAACCGTCTGATTCCACAAGTACAGCACATCATATAACCAACGCCGTCAGAGCTCAGATGTAGGGGCCTTGCTAATTAGAAAAAGGCCTTCATAGTATACTTTTTCGGAACCCTAAAGAATAGTATTAGTACTTATTCCAGCTTTTATATTACGGGGTTTCGGGCTTATGGTCGAAAGGGGGGTTGGGTTTAGGGTTTAGGAGTTTATGGGCTTTCGGTTTTAGAGTTGAGGGTCTTTGGGGCAAGAAAGGATGGCATACATGACAAGAGTGAGACGACCAAGGACACACCAAGGATGGTTTGGTTTCAGCCATATAGTGATGTGAATATGAAAGACATGAGAGCATGATGTTCGGCACAGGCCGTCAAAAAGATGAAACCAACACCCAGAATTAAGGAATTCAAATTTTTAACTCATCCTATCAAGCCCCTTGTAATTCTACGTACATTCCTTATTTGAGGGTTGTTAGGTTCCCCAATTCCCCTGCACTAATAAACCCTAAACTGGGGACGACATTGACAGTGGTTCATGGGCCATGGGGGAAAGTTCAGCTGAGGACGACAGCTATCGGAACGAAGCTATTGACCATGGCAACAATGATCCCGGCAGAGTTGCGGGGAGGGTTTAGAAGGTGGCCTCAGGCTGACGAGAGATGCCGTCGATGCAGCGGCCGCTGGCGATGCCCTTTGGCAGGAGTAGGAGTTGGACTTAGGATTTAGGCATAAGGGTTTAGGGCTGAGGGTGAAAGGACATCACTGCAAGCTTCAGCTTCGAACAGAAAATGAGGAGACCCCGTACCTAAACTTCACACAGGCCGTCCTTTTGTTGGAGATATGGGAGTTTCCGAAAACTAGGGGTACCTCCTTTTGGGGTCGTTATAATAAGGATCCTACTATTTAGGGTGATATATTAGGGTCCCCTATTTTCGGAAACCCCCATATGGGGGTTTCCGAAAATAAGGGACCCTAATATAGTACCCAAAATTAGTACGATCCTTAGCATAAGGGCCCCCAAAATAAGGTACCCCCTATTTTCGGAAACTCCCATATAGTTGACCTAGCAACAACAGCCGCGGGGTCTGGGCCAGACCGACTATGAGATTCCTTCAACTCGTTTCCTTTCGCTGCCTCCGTGACTCCAAAAGACCTATACCTTGAAGCCCAGTACTCTGGCCCAAAAAAGCTTAAACTTTTCGTTTAGTAGGGGGTTTAATATACCAAAAAGTTTAAAGTCTACCTACTGGATTCCTAAGTATAGTGTACCACAGTCTCCACCCTGTGCTATGAAGCTTGAAATCTTCCGTCCCAAACCTTCAACCGATCGACTCAAGCCCCTGTATGTGAGCAGTTCTCTAAGCTAGGGTCCCTTTTTGGGTTCCCAATATAGTACGGCACCCTTACAAAAGCCCACCCTAAAAGGGACCCTATAATTTAGAGAGCTACCCCTGTATGTGAGCCCTAAACCCTAAACCCTAAACCCAAAGTATAGTTTAGAGAACTACCCCTGTATGTGAGCCTGGCCCACGCCGGAGCCGATGGCCGCAAGGCCGATGGCGAAGCCGGCGCCGATGGCGGAGAGAGCGGGGATCCACACGGCACCGTCCTTTTGTTTGTTGGGGTTGGGGTTTAGGGTTTAGGGTTTAGGGTTTAGGGTTTAGGGTTTAGGGTTTAGGGTTTAGCGTTTAGGATCCTCCAAAGTCTTGGGGTTGGGGCTTTCTGGGTTCTTGCTAAGGACTTTAGTTTAAGTTACCATAAGAAGGAAACCCTGTTATTTACTATAGAGCCCTATTATGGTAACTTAAATTTTACCCCTTAACAAGAACCCAGTTTTGGGGAGTTGTAGGCTCAAGCCTGTAGGGCTAACGGCTTTAGGTTTGGGGTTTTGGGTCTTCAGGGCTTCGAGTGTTGCCGTTCTATGCAAACACGGTGGCTAAGTGTATAGCGGCCTAAATAATTACCTATACTATTTTGGGGGGTTCCTAAAATATAAGTGTAGTAGTAATATACCCCAAAACTCTATTCTAATTATATATCAAGGCCCCTACATTACTGTCTCTTGTGCTTCAAGTTCGACTCTGTGGAACCACGATCTCGACGACGGATGCAGCACGCCCCCGCATTTTCTGAAAGTCCCATTGGAGTATCGTCGTTGTCTTTAGTTTCGTGCTTTCATGTATGGACATCGTATCTTCGGAGATACCCAAGTATCTAGAACTTGACTTGTTGAGATCCTCTTTGAGGACCCACCCTAAATCCTAAACCCTAAACCCTAAACCCTAAACCCTAAACCCTAAACCCATTTTCTGAAGCTCCCATTTACCTGAACCCGAACACCCGAAACCCCAGGGGTTCGTGTGCCCGAATAGTATATACTTTGGCCTTATAGCAGGCCCTATATAGGTTCTTCGAGGCCTAAGTATACTACTGTTGATGATATAAGTCCTGCGTTACCTTAAGGACTCCGAGCTACGGGAATTGTGGTATATTCCTTACCTTAAGAACCCAAAACCCACTTTTTTGTAGGTTCTTATTATAAACCCAAATATGGGATTTATAGGGACCCTACAAAAAAGCAGGTTTTGGGTTCTTAAGGTATTATGAGAAATGCAGGATTTATACCATCAGCCGTATTTGGGCCCGCGTCAGCCTCGGGGAGGATGGGAGTCTCAAACCCACCCTGACCTGAGGTACCCCGGCTCTCTTAAAAGGGACCTTATTGAGAGGGTCTACATCCCCAAACATCCCCCCAATCCTAGCTCCCAGCCCTTAAGCCTCCATGTTTAGTTAGGGCTTGCAAATCTGAAACCCTAAACCTGTTTAGGGGTTTAAGGGTTAAGGGTTGAGGGGTTTAGGGTTTAACGGGGATTAAGGGCAGTTTAGGGTGTCCCTGACGCTCCAAACAGCCCAAAGTAGATCATGTTCACAAGCTTTAGATACCAAAGTAGGTATGATTGGTAGACTTAGCCTATTAACCCCAATAAACCCCAAATGCCAGACCTAAACCCTAAACCCCAAACCCTAAACCCTAAACCCTAAACCCCATCCGGGGCAAACCTCGGCGTGAGCTGCCTGGGGGGCTACCAGCGTGACGGCACCTTCGACAGTGGTGGCTTCGAGCCCGGGTCCAAGTACCCACGAGGGGTACTATAGGGTTCTATAATAGGGTCACCGGGGTGCTATAATCGGGTCCGCTTTAAGGGGCACTATCCACAATTCAAAAGAGGGTTCCCTATATGGGGGAGACCTATATAGGCTTTATTATAGATCCTTTCTGTGGGGTATCTTGAGGATCCTATTTTCTACTATGTAATAAAATGATCTAGGACCCTCTGGGATGAACACAACTCGGTGCAGACCTCGACACTGTACAGCATAGGTGCGCCTATTTTGAGACCCAAAGCTCTGAATCACACGAGCCCGACTCTTCACTTATCGCGGTTTAGGATTTAGGGTTGCGTGGGGTATCTGGAATACTACGTAACCCTATATAGTAAGTGTTTGTGCACCCGGTGCTGCGCAACCCCCGAAGCTTCACAGCGATGCAACAGCGGATGTGGGCAGTTAGACCAAGGAATGCAAATGAACTAACGTCATATTTGCCTGCAATCTGAAGCGCAATGCCGAGAACACAAACACTGTGCCAAAGACGGCCGTCTGAACACAATATGCTATACGCTAGAGGTCATACAACGCACTATAACTTGCGTACGGAATCAGCAGCAAAGCCACTCAAGGCCGCAGTGGCCGCATGCGGAGCGGTCGGGGCTGGGGCGGCACGGGGCGCAGCCACAAATGCCGTGAATAGCGCACCTGCCAATTGCAGCTTTCAGTTCTTGTTCGCCCTGCTTGAAGCTTCCTGTGATAAGGGCTGAGTTCGACGTAGTTCAACTGGGGTGTTCAGATGTACAAGTACAACACATACCTGCAGCCAGAGTTAGACTGATCAGAACCCTAGTTATTGATGTCCTATTGATGTGCCCTAAACCCTAAACCCTGACCCTAAACCCTAAGCCCTAAACCAACCAACCAACCTAAACCTTCAAGCAACTGGTACTGCAAAGCAAGGTCTTAGAACCCACGAAGCGCGTGCTCTGAAGTTACGATCGAATGTGACTGTCCGACTGTCCGAGAGAGATCGCACACACAAGGAATTATTGTAGGAGCCTTAATAATTAGAATAGGGTTTTGGGGTATATTATACTATAATTCTAGTCAGGAACCCTCCAAAATAGTATTGGTATTAGGCCCCTATATTACACCGAGTCTCCAAAAACCCTGAACTTAGGAATTCTATCCCCAACCATAATAAGGCTCCCCATATACTCTCAGGCATACTCATTAGTTAAGGGGTCTTGAAATCTCTGGGAAGGATTGTGAAAGACCCATTCCAGCCTGAGCGGAAATGCACTAAACGGCCACTACGATGACAACGACTACACGGACAGAGGCGTCAGCAGTTACCCAAACTCCGACTCGGGTGCGGTTGAGGCTGTTCCTACTCCTGTTCCTATTCCTACTCTCCTGCTCCTCCTCCTACTCCTACACGACTACTACGGCTGCTACTGCCCGATTGCTGCCATACATGTCGAGACCAGGAACTCATAATGAAATTTCTCCTGTAGAACTCCAAAGAAAAACCCTGCCAAAAGCACTCCCCGAACCCCCAAAACCCGAAACCCAAACCTTGAATCCCCAAACTCTAAAAACCTTGAACCCTAAATCCCCATAGTACCCTTGTCGATATCGCTAAAGTAACCCTCGTAGTTCTGTTACAGAAACCCTAAGCCACCAAAACCCCGCAACCCTTGTGGAACCCTTATCGTAATCCATTTGGGGTTCCTTTTAAAGGGCTCTGCGCGGAATCTACTATAAGGGTTTAGGTATAGGGCCTGAGTAATTAGAATAGGGTTTTGGGGGTTCATGATAGCATAATCATAAAAAAACAAAAGAACCTTGAGGAATAGTATTGATAATCGGTAAACATTTAGGCTTCTATAGTGAACCCTAAGGAGTAGTGTTGGTAATTATTTAGGCTTCTATAGTCATGTAGGTGCCTTAATAATTAGAATAGGGTTTTGGGGTATATTATAGTATAATTTTTATAAGGACCCCCCCCCCCCTAAACCCTAAACCCCAAACCCTACACCCTAAACCCCAAAATAGTATAGGTAATTATTAAGGCCCCCATAGTAACCCCTTTGAAGTCTGGAACCCGAGTCTCCGACCGCTGCAGAGGAGCACAGCACCGGTCAGAGCGATGAAGCGGGCCATCCTCGGAATTCAGGGTTTTAGGGTTCAAAGGTTACCTTAAGAACCCAAAGCCTGCTTTTTTGTAGGGTCCCTATTAATCCCATATTAGGGTTTATAATAATAACCTACAAAAAAGGGGTTTTAGGATTCAAAGGTTAGGGTTCAGGCTTAGGGTTCAGGCTTTAGGGTTCAGGGTTTTAGGTTTCATGGTTCAGGGTGCAGAGTTTGGGTACGGTTGATGATATAAATCCTGCATTACCCATTATGAGGAATATACCATAATTCCCATAGTTTGGGTCCTTAAGGTAGTGCAGGATTTAAATCATCAACAGTAGTAGGCTTCAGGGCTTTGGGCTTTGGGGCTTTAGGCTATAAGCTTAGGGATGTCTTTGGGGGTTCCACCTAAGGGCTCTCGAAGGGTTCCTATAAGGGTTCCTACAGCGGTGTCGAGGGTGACCCTGAGGTTCTTATGCTATTGCCCTCAACCCTAAACCCTAAATCCCCTCAACCCTAAACCCTCAACCCTAGATCCCCTCAACCCTAAACCCTAAACCCTCAACCCTAAACCCTAAACCCGAAGGCTTTAGGGCCTACGGACGTAGGATTGAGGGGACAGGAGGCTCGATGGTTTCAGGTTTTTAGACTTATTTGCGGTATGGGGCCCGAATTCTAAACCCTAAACCCCAAACCCTAAACCCCAAACCCCAAACCCGAAACCCCAAATTCCTGCAAAGTTCATAGGTTACTGTTGCGTTTTGGAAGATGTGAGATTCCAGGCTCCCTATATCTTGTAGACTTTTAGGGTTTAAGGTTTAGGGCTTTGGGGGTTAAGGAAGGGTCTGGGGTTTTGGGGTTCAGGAGTTCAGGGTTTTAGAAGTTCGGGATTTACATGGTTTAAGGGTTCAGGGCTCCTGGCCTTGTATTCGGTTGAGTGCTGAGTTTCACCATCTGCGGGCTCCCGGGTTTCAGGTAGACCAGGAAATTTCAAGTGCCCTTTAAACCCTAAACCCTAAACCTAAACCCCAAACCCTAAACCCTAATAAGGGTATAAAGGAGGGTACTTGCAGACTCGGGGGGTCTAGCTGCTCTGCAGAATATCACTGAGCAATACCTTCACTTGCCGGGAGCGTAGGGTTTAGGGTTTAGGGATTAGGGTTTAGGGTTTAGGGTAGTAAACCTAAACCCTAGACCCTAAACCCAAACCCTAGACCCCAAACCCTTAACCCTAAACCCTTATATAGCCCCTGGAGCCTGATAAATTGGACCCCTAGCCCCGAAAGCGGATCCAAAACCGGCTCAATACCCAGACGGAGGCCCTTTTTGGAGAAAGGCTTACTGTAATACATGGGCTTTAAAAATCGGAACAAGGTTTTCAAATCGTTAATAGGTTACATACGCCTTCAAGTGCTGTGCAGCGTTTAACTTGAAGGCTGAAGAATTAGAATTAAGTAAGACCAACTTATTGGGTGTATGGTATGGTGTAATCATACAGGCACCATTGGGGACTTTCTTACTTCTTCAAATTGTCTTCACGACGCTGACCTCTATATTGAGCCGTCTCAGGACAGATAAGGCATACAACTGCTCGTATTGTGGGCTACAATGATAACCCTAAGCATCAGAACGCACATCAAGCGTAAGCTTCTTGCGAAATACTTATACTTGACCCTAAAATCCTAAACCCCAAAGACGCCCAACATCCTAAACCCCACACCACCAAACCCCTAAGCCCCGCACCACTAAATCCTAAACTCCTCGAACCCTAAACTCCGTAAACCCTAAACTTGACCCTAAACTCCTTAACCTAAAAACCTAACCCCTCAAATCCTAACCCCTAGAAACCTTGCCCCTGAAAACCTTACCCCTGAAAAACCTAACCCCTAAAATCCTAACGGCTGAAAATCCCAACCCCTCAAAGCCTGAACCCGGAAGTTCCTGCCCAAGGTCGTGAGAGCTTTGGGCGTCGTGAGCAACGTGCTCTGGGAAAAACTGAGGCTGGGCCAAAAGGCGGCAAGGCAAGCAAGATGCTGTTTTGTAAGGGGATGGATTATTATGGGACGGTTTTCAAGGGGGGTATATTCTGGATCCCATAATAACATGCTGATGTTGGCGTTTGGGGTTGTGACTTTTGGATTTTAGGGTCATGGGTTTGTGGCTCTGGGTCTTGGATTTTAGAGTCACGGGTTTTGAGTTTTGGATTTTAGGGTCACGGGTTTGGGATTCTGAGTTTTGGTTTTTCGGGTCACAAGTTTAGGGTTTGCTTTTGTCGGATGTCTTAGTAGGGCCGGTGCATCGATACTAGAGTCATAGAATGGTCGGCATTCCTTCAACACGTTTTCTTGAGGCTACATATTGAAAGTCACACGAGCAACATCACCCTTATCAAGCATCCACGAAGACCGGCCAACCGTAACCACGGGGTTGCCAGTATACAATACCCATCTGACCCATCTTGGCATTTTAAACTTGTACCCAACAGCAACGTCATACCTATGTTGGGTTATGTGGAGCCTCAGCGGTGGACCGCAAGACCAATTGTGAGGATGGCAGTTGTGAAATAATACAGAAGCCTGGATAATTAGGATGGGGTTTTGGGGGGGTTCCTTATTATAATTATAGTATCGTATACCCCAACACCCTATTCTAGTTACTAAGGCCC